AAGTTGTTATTCACCAGAAGAGACAATTGTACTTGGGGATGCATTTGTACGATATTGTTTTTTTACCCATTTTTTTCTCGTGACTGAACGAACCGAATAAAACCCAAAAACAAGCAAATCAAGAGTCCCCACACGCACACACTAGGTGTATCTGACATAGAAACAATGTTTTACATTCACAAAAACCCAGGCAAATGCACTCATACAAACGCAAAACATTTTCCTACCAACAAAAGCACAAAGACTCGTACATGTGCTTAAACGAAGCAAAACAAAAGCAAAACATATAAATGCTAGTGTTTGAGTATAGTATATGAACACCGTGCGACTTTTTAAAAGTTCACAGCATGAAATTCAGGAACACACAAAAGACTGTAATCCCGTGGTCTATTACTACCGTTCCCACCATCGGTTAGTATATTACTATAATATGTGCCTGTCTGCTCCGATATGTGTCACGAGTCTCGAAGGACGCGGTCGTGAACTTCCCTTCTGTGACATGGGTTGTTATAACAAAGCCGTTAGGTTGTTCAGAAGTCAGAGGACGGGGGACTAACGGGCCCTCAAACTCCAGGCTGTGCCTCGTCTGTCGTATGTAGTTATTTCCGCCCGTCACGTTTTCCAATCTTCTCTGATCAGATGAGCCGCTTGCTGGTCACCTTTGACCTGCACAGCGCATTGAACAAAACGTGAGGGAGTGACATAGTGACATGTGCCATAGTAAAATCACCAACTTCCTGGTCATGGGGAGGAGACCAAAACAAAAATATAAAGAAGAATATTTGTATTTTCAACATTTTATGTTTAATCTGTATATAAAAGATAAGCAACCTATAGGAATACTTATATAATACATGTTTGTATGTATGCGTTGTTACATTTTACGTATCTTTTAGGTCAGAACATCTGGGTTCAGGTGTAATGGTGTGATGTATAACGTTTCTTTGGTGTGTCGGAACGATCTTTGCCTTCCTATTTTTCTTGTCCCAAACCAGTAGGCCCTATATCGAGATTACTATGTTTGAAGTGTACTTCACCCTAGCATATAATGAGAAGTCGCTTCCCCAATTATTTTACTGTAATTTGTCCTTTTCCGTGTTCAATCTTTTGGCCGTAGTGATACTGGCTCGGCTCCAGTCAATGATACCTTCTTGGTCTTCTCCTTCGTTGTTGTTTTTTTCTTTCATTTATTTCTTGTAGTCCCATTTTCTCCGGTGATCCATCTCCCCGAAATCATTGAATAAATGTGTTGGTTCTTCGTCCTAAGCTTTGCTTCGATCTCATTATTCAGGTTGTTTGTGATCGCTGAATCTTAGTGTTCTTTTCTGTAGTATTTTTTAAGAAGAAAAAAAACCGATAACCTTTATGCCATTCCTGTGTCCGGACTTGCTTCACGGCTGTATTTCTCGCCGAGGCAAGCAGAAGGCGTGAGTTCAATTCCCAAGTAGGAGGAATATTCATCGAGTATCTCCGTCTTACTGCCTGGACGTTGTATTGCTCTCAACCTGGGTCGACCCCGACAGACAGGTCGTCGAAACAGTTCGCCTCGTAACTTACACTTAGGTGAAATTGCAGCTCTGTTTCGAATCCCCAATGGGGGTGTTTTATACTTTGTTTGGAGGAGTTTTAAGGCCCTCTATCCGCTTGGCTTGGTCCTATCGGATATGGAAACTAAATTCTGTGGTTTTGCTTTTCAAATAAGATTGACGTTCAAAAGATTTTTAGTAAGTTTTACGGCACTTGCAACACGATATGGTCACATGAGTGCCGAAGAATAGAGGTGTTTCAAGAGAATAACAAATACAAAAGAAGTAGGAGAGATCAAGACGTAGAGGTTTGATTGAAAAGAAAGAGCAAACCACACCAGAGCATCCGCCAACCACCCGTGAGGTTCAATAGGCCATTAAACCTTTACGGCGACTGACTGACCATTTTCATCTAGCAATACTGTGCTTTAGGCGCTCCAATCAAACTGACGACAGCAGAAGTGAAAGATAAATAAATAGGCCCTGTATAAACAGCAAAGGCAGAAGCAAGATTCAGTCAAACGCAGAAACTACGGGGTGATTTTAAAAAATAAGCTATACAACATTGTTGGTAAATATTTTCCTCCACACTGAAGTTTTGCGTTTCAAGTTTGTACACATTTGGAAGTCTAAAGGAATTTGTCTGATAATTCCACGGAATAGTTTGCCTGCCATTTTCTGCTGTATCCCCGTTTTTGTAGCATGAAGCACTAGTTCGCATTAGGCCTGGGCCTACCATTAAAAGTCCCGATGATCGCGCCATATTGCAAGCCACAGTAGTTTAACAAGCCGGCTGAAGTTTGCTGTTAGTTCTTCTCAAGTTTCCTTTGCCTGCTGAGATCATGCTTAAGTTTAGTGACAAGCAGATAGCCTCTGGTATTGAACATTTCCTCACCACCAACTCATTTCGTAAGTTTCGCACAAGGTACGGTAACAAATGATAAAGTGCCACTAATGCCTTCTTTGAATTCAAGGGTGGAAATGGTCCATCAGTTAGGACATATAGAGAATCAGAACAAAACATTTACACACTAAACGACCACTTCAGATCAAACGCACACTGATTGCACCCCTCTAAACGTCGCCAGGGTGCATAATTCAGAAGATGAGCCCCATGAGACGTCTGTCCGTAGACGGTGTCTGCAGCAAGGGCTTTCCCACATCTCAACGGTTCGCATTTTCATTGCTGATCTTCATCTTCGACTGTACCATTTTCCTGTTAGCAAAGCTGACATGGATCAAAGGAAAGCAATGTGTTCATGATTCCTCGATCGTCTAGAAAAACGTGAACATTCTTCGATAACCTTTGATTCCTTGGCAAAGTCTATATTCACATTTTAGGATATGTTAACTCCACAACTGCCTATTTGAGCAACATCACCTGTCACCCTACTGTCTCTAGAAACAACTCCATACTGTAAGGTGTACTGTGTGTGTAGCTTTGAGAACTCATGATTGGGTGGATCTTTGTGTTTGGCCACCACTGAACATTACGATCAACGCGGTAAAATGTGACGGGTCCACAGGAAGACACATAGAGCACTAGATATCTAGTTCTTGGAATTCCAGATTTAATATATTTTTCTAAAACACTGTAAAAAAAGAAATATTTTTTCAGTTGTCACAGGGATGGAAAGATTAGGTGTTAAAAAGAAAAGGGAGGAAAAAACAACAACAAACCAACCATTTCATGACTCTCCTGAAGTTACGAGATCTTTTAAATTGGGCGAATTTTGCGTTTATCGGTGGCTTTTATAAAGGCGGCATCCGTTTTCGAAAACAAGTTTCTTCATGAATTTTATGTCTAACAAATTCCTTTTGACGAATTATATCTGTTCCAAATTACAACAGGCTTGTACAGATTTTATGTGAGACTTTTTACTTTTTAGGTTTTTTTCCCGCTTGTACCGGGGGGGGGGGGGTGTCGCGGGGAGACACAGGTGTCTGTCTGCAGCAAGGCGAGTTGTCTGTAGGAGGGACATCCCGTGAGCTCTGAGGGTGCCTGCCACAGATTCACTCCATCGTCACCTTGGTTTTCCTCTGGCTCTCCATCCAGAATATTTAATGTTGTATGCTCTCAGAGCTGGATGGTTTAAGGGCATCTGCGTGAGGTGTCCGAACCACTTGACCTTTTGTTTTTCAATGTGTGGTAGGACTGGTGTTGCTCCTACGGTGTCCCTTATGACTTCATTTTTAATTTTGCCACTTCTTGCTTTGTTGACCGCTCTTCTTAAACATTTAATCTCGCATGTGACCAGTTTCCTCTCTAGGGCTTTTGTTAGGGACCATGTCTGGCACTGATATGTGAGTGTTGGAAGGAAAATGGCGTTGATGTGCTTCGCTTTAGTGCTCATGGGGATATTGGGATGTTTCAGGAGAGGGACGAGTTGATAGCTGAATGCGTGAGATATTCAGAAAAAAAGTTGTACAGTTTTTTTTTTTTTTTTTGTTTTTTGGATCTCCCTGTATTTATATCTAGGAAGATATTTCCACTTTTAAGGAAGAAACTGTTGAAGTGCTACATCTTTCTCATTCACTAAATAAAGTGCTGATAGCTGGACTGAAATACTACGGCAGAATGGCCAGAATTAGCGGGAAAACAAAAAGATAGATAATGAGGTGTGTCGTATTCGCCACACGCAACTTAAACGAAATAAAAAGTAAGCAAATAAAATACTTTGGTCATAATAAACGCCACCAGATCATTATCACACTGGAAATACTCGAAGCAAAGAAAAGATATGGAGCACAAGGTCAAAGAAGGAACAAAGCACAAAGTGGAGAGACAACATCAAAGTATGGACTTTGCTAAATAATATGACGGAATACATGAAAATACCGTAAACAATGACGTGTAATTACACTTCAACTTCTGAGATAGAGATGACAGCTCCAGGTATCCAGACCCCCCAGGGCGGCGCCACTGACTGAAGTGTCTTTAGGCCGTTCCCAAAGGGGGGACATTTTTCGTTCTAATGCTCAGTAAAATTGTAAATGGGCTGATCAAACTATGTCATGCTCATAACTGTGTCTGAACTACAACAGGGAACTGCTGCTTTTTCTTTCACAATCCTTACTATTGTCATTTTCCTCTACTTCTTTTGTATGTTTGTCACACTCTTGTGACCCTCTATTTCCGGGGTGCCTTGATAGTCGAAGCAGACTTTGTGCTGTTGAAGCAAGAGAGGTGAACAGAGTAAGTCTGATTCCCTGTAAGAACTTCTCTGTTGAGATCTACCCCTTGGCGCTCATATGACCTTATGCAGTTGCGAGCGCCGTAAAACCTCTACCGAAACTAAACTAAAAAACAGGTATCCAGGCTTTAGAATATCTTAACACATGAAAGGAAGTCACCCTCCTACCCTCCCCAATTACCCCCACCCCCTTTCCGCGGATACATATAGATAGATTGATGGAGAACCGAACAAAGTACATGAAGATGGGTCACTAATTGTTTTTTTTTCCCTTTCTCAGTGGCGGCCATCTGAACCCTGCTGTCACCCTCGGCGTGTTCCTGTCTGGCTCCATCGCGCCGCTGACTGCTCTACTCTACTTCATTTCGCAGCTTTTAGGTGGGATCCTTGGTTCTGCACTCACAAGGGTAGGTTTTTACTCACATATTATACGGTCGCTTTTAAGCACACGTGAGCTATACCGAAAAATGCTGTTTTGAGAAAATCGAAGTTATATGTTTTGCCCCTTTTTCTGTTTCTTTAAAAGGCAAGGAGAGTTAACTTAACAAATATAAACACCAATGAAACCAAACTTCTGCTACGGGTAGGGCAATGCCCTGTTTTGGTGTAGGTCAAGATTTCTGGAAACCTCTGAAATCTAGGTTAGCCTGCTTGTCCTTAAAAGCGACCATATACTAACACACCACATACGCTTTCACTCACACACACACAAATACACACACACAGACCCACCCACACACACACACACACACACACACACACA